AATATGTAAATAACAACTTAGTTGTGTGTGTGTGTGTGTGTGTGTGTGTGTGTGTACACTTTCTTGTGTGTATTTCATTAATTTAGTCCAGATGATATTTCACCAACTTAACCAGCAAGCAAACCTTGACTATGTTTGTACTGTGCCAGCTCTAGGGGACCCCAATGCTGGTTGGGACCTTTGGGCACTGATTTAATATCCCTGCTAATTAAAAATAAGCAAGTGAAATTCTGAAGGTTGCTCATAAAATGGGAGTTTGGTAATTGTCAAACTTTACCCCCAAAGAGTCTGCTGGTTGTTTTTTCTGAGGTATTTATTTATGGTCTCTCTTTAAAAAAAAAATATATATATTTTTTTCTTTTTTCCTGGCTGTGTCTTCATTAACAATTATTACTGTTAGATTGTTTTTCAGCAAATCTAAACTCTTAGATTTACCAGAAGTCTACAGAATACAAGAAATAAAATTCAATAAATTCTAGAGTGGTTTTTCAGACACAGTTCATAAACTCATTACTACTAAGATTAAGTGCATCTCAACCCGGATTCAGCATGTCTTATTTTAATATGCATCATTACATTGTCCTTAGAATAATTGTTTAATTTTACACAGTGATGGCTAATCACTGTTCAGAAAATTAATTGTAGATGGAGAAAAATTTCTCACGATTTATCTGGGAACAAGTTACCAAAAAATCATTTGACAATTTAACTACACGATGGAATTCAAATGGCAAAGGCTAAACAATATATATATATCCAATTTAAACAAAAACAAACCCAAATTGGCTTCTGTTCAGATGTAAGTAAGATTAAGGAAATAGTTGTTAAAAACCAGGGGAATTCATATCTGGAAAAAAAAGAGATTTTTATAGATTTCATAACAATGATCTAAAATATTCTTGCTTTTTAAACAAGCTAAGAGAACTCTTCACTTTAGTGACACCTGGTGTCCAAAATCATTTATAACAAGTTGCAAGGCAGATGTGCTGGGAGTTCTGATATTTAAAAATATCTTAACGGAGAAGGAAGGCATCTTGTACAAGTTACCAGTCCCAAACTATTCTAGTGTTTCATATAGAAATTGTACTGAACTGTTAAGTGATTTTGAGTACTTTGTAGTCTGTATTTGGACATTGGACCTGAATGTTATTAACAGTATTTTAAGATACCAGATAGGAAAACAGAATTAACAATGAGACCCCCTCTAGCTCCTGTTGACTAAAATAGGAGGAAGGCTGTGCTTATGAGGATGGATTTTTGTATTTGTATGATTGATAGGTGCAGCATAACCTACTTTTTAGTAATTTCACCAACTGAAACCATGACATTTGTCTTCAGAAGTTAAAATATATAAACATTTTAATTTGTTAATATTTCTGGGAAACTAATATTGATATGTCACTTGGATTCCATGAGACAAGATGTGAAAAAGCATGAGATATTTAATAACCATGTGTGTTTCATGTGTTTGGGAAACCTTTGTCCCCTAGTAAGTTGTCATTACCTAGTGCTTTGAACTTAACATGTCTTAGTCCCTTTCTTATGTGTGTAATTGTACTATGTTAGTTCCCATAAGTACTTGCTATGTGTCAGATCATTCCCCAAGAATCCTACTTGGCAGTGTGTTCATCCCTAGTGACTAGTGGGGATGGACAGATGGGCTATGCTTATTATCTTAACACTCCCCTACAACCCACCCCGAGGCATCTGCTTAAAAGTTAACCATCTGATGCTATATTAACTTCTATACAAAATTCTGTGCTTTTGGAACCCCCCCCCTAAGGAGACGAGGCAGGGAGTCTGGGGCTCTGAGAGAATCTCTCAGTTAATGGCAGGGGAGCAGAAGGCTCAGAAACCTCTGTGGAAATAGTTTTAGAATGGAACAGTTCCCCAGCAGCTGCACATATTACTCCTGGGGGGATTTTGTGCCAAAAAAATTAAAAATTCTGTGCACAATATTTTAAAATTGTGCGTATTTTATTTGTCAAAATAACACAATATAATCAAGCCAGTTTCAATTATTTTGGTAATTTATTTAAAAATACCTGTCAACAAGTATGTCTGTAACAATAGAGACAACAAAAATCCAGAAAATGTTTTTGACAAATAGATTCCTTACTAGTTATATTAGTACAGAACTTTAAGTAATAATTCATTTAAACTACAATACAGAAATGTATTTCCTGCACCCCCTCAGAAGCAATGCAAAGGCTTGGGGGAGTCAGGAGTAATGGAGGAGCTAAGGAAGAGGGAAGTAATTGCTGGAAAGAAGCCTGGGAGTGAACCTGGAGGGCTGTTGGGTATGGGTGGAAGAAGTATGGAACAGTTTGGTTTTTGGGGGGAGGGATTGGTAGGGAGTTGGGGAGTCTCACCTATGCAGACCCTGGCTGACTCCTAACTTTTCCCATTCAATCAGGCACATCTGCCCCATCACCATGTGTCTCTGCGCCCTCACTCAGCCACCATTCCTCTCCCATCCCCATGTACCCCTGCATCCTCACTCCCATTCAGCCCCTGCCCCAGTCTGTCCCCCCACTAGCCCTTCTGAACCTCAGTCTGTCAGCACCCTCGCTCTGTCCATCCCCCTCCATGTTCTGTGCCTCCTCACCTGGTCCCATGGGTAGGGTGCTGTGTGGAACACAGCCTCATCTCCTCCCTATTGGCAGAGGGCTGCTCCCACCCAGAATCAGTTGCCCTCTGTTCGGGTGCCAGAGCAGCCCCTGGTGGGCAAAAGGTGTAACTGCAGTACCTCTCCAGCAGAATGTATTTTCTTCAGAGAAAAAAATTCTGTGGGGAACGTGTATTCAGCATGTGCACAGTAGTGCAGAATTCCCACAGGAGTAAAATATCAGGGGTTTGAACCCTTTGCTGCTTGTGTGTGGGGATGAGAGTGCCAGTGGAAAAATTAATAGGGTTCTTCCTTGAGGAACAGAGTTTCACCCCCGGCCCTTTTAATGGGGTTTTCTGCAGGATATGGCCATCTGGCCCAGTGTATTCTCTCATTACTAGTTGCAAATGGGTTTCTCAATATTAGCCTTGGTCTACACTACGAGTTTAGGTTGGATTTAGCAGCGTTAAATTGATTTAACCCTGCACTCGTCCACATGACGAAGCCATTATTTTCGACGTAAAGGGCTGTTCAAATCAATTTCGGTACTCCTCCCCAGACAAGGGGATTAGCGCTGAAATCGACCTTGCCGGGTCGAATTTGGGGTAGTGTGGTCAAATTCGACAGTATTGGCCTCTGGGAGCTATCCCAGAGTGCTCCATTGTGATCGCTCTGGACAGCCCTCTCAACTCCGATGCACTGGCCAGGTAGACAAGAAAAGGTCCACGAACTTTTGAATCTCATTTCCTGTTTGGCTAGCGTGGCGATCTGCAGGTGAGTGCAGATCTCATCAGCAGAGGTGACCATGATGGAGTCCCAGAATCGCAAAAGAGCCCCAGCATGGACCGAACAGGAGGTGTGGGATCCGATCGCTGTATGGGGAGACAAATCTGTGCTATCAGAACTCCGTTCCAAAAGACGAAATGCCCAAACATTTGAAAAAATCTCCAGGGGCATGAAGGACAGAGGCTATAACAGGGACCCGCAGCAGTGCCGCGTGAAACTTAAGGAGCTGACGCAAGCCTACCAAAAAACCAGAGAGACAAACGGCTGCTTTGGGTCAGAGCCCCAGAGATGCCGCTTCTATGATGAGCTGCATGCCATGCGAGGGGGTGCAGCCGCCACTACCCCACCCCTGTGCTTTGACTCCGTCAATGGAGTAGCATGCAACAGGGATGCGGGTTTTGGGGATGAGGAAGATAGCTCACAGCAAGCAAGTGGAGAAACCGTTTTCCCTGACAGCCAGGAACTGTTTCTCACCCTGGACCTGGAGTCAGTACCCCATGAATCCACCCAAGGCTGCCTCTCGGACCCACCAGGCAGAGAAGGGACCTCTGGTGAGTGTACCTTTGTAAATATTATACATGGTTTAAAAGCAAGCGTGTTTAATGATTAATTTGCCCTGGCTTTCGCAGTAGGTACAGCTACTGGAAAAATCTGTTAACATGTCTGGGGATGGAGTGGAAATCCTGCAGGGACATCTCCATAAAGCTCTCCTAGATGTACTCCCAAAACCTTTGCAAAAGGTTTCTGGGGAGGGCAGCCTTGTTCTGTCCTCCATGGTAGGACACTTTACCACGCCAGGCCAGTAGCACGTAGTCTGGAATCATTGCATAACGAAGCATGGCAGCATATGGTCCCGGCGTTTGCTGGCATTCAAACAGCATCCGTTCTTTATCTCTCTGTGTTGTCCTCAAGAGAGTGATATCATTCCTGGACACCTGGTTGAAATAGGGTGATTTTATTAAGGGGACATTCAGAGGTGCCTGTTCCTGCTGGGCTGTTTGCTGTGGCTGAACAGAAATGTTCCCCGCTGTTAGCCACTCAGTGGGGGGAGGGGTGAAGCGATCATCCCAGAGACTTGAGTGTGTGTGTGGAGGGGGTTTAGTTGGGTTTGTGCTGCACGTTAACCCGAAAACCTCAGCCCCTTCTCCTTTTAAATGGCCAACCCAATGGCTGGTTGGTATGGGAAATGAGGGCACTGCTGTTTGAAATCATTCCCACATGTAATGAAGGTTAAAGAAGCCAAAAGACTGTGTCTTACCATGGCTGCCTGCAAGCCAAATTCTGTTGCCCGGCCCTGCATGAAAGATCTCTCACACCAAACTGGCATACCCTCAATAAGAGGCAAAATGCGACCTTGTACCGAAAGCACATGTGCTATGTAATGTTAACAGCAAGGTTTACCGTGAAAGAGTCTATCCGTTGTCCTCTAAAATGTGTGTTTTTAACTACCACTCTCCCTTTTTTTTTCCTTCACCAGCTGCAAATGTTTCAACGCTCACACTATCTTCTCCTTCCTAGAGGCTAGCGAAGATTAGAAGGTGAAAAAAACACACTCATGATGAAATGTTCTCTGAGCTCATGCAGTCCTCCCATACTGAAAGAGCCCCACAGAATGCGTGGAGGCAGACAATGTCAGAGTCCAGGAAAGCACAGTATGAATGTGAGGACAGGTGGCAGGCTGAAGATAAGTGGCGGGCCTAAGATGATAGGTGGCATCATTCAACCACCATTCTGCACTTGCACAGCCTATAGTTGAACAGCTCCTGACTACTGTTCAGGCTGCCTGTGTATGGCTTAATGAGCCATGGCATTAAGGGCTAGGCTGTGTCCCCAAGGATAACTATAGGCATTTCAACATCCCCAGTAGTTATTTTCTGGTCTGAGAAGAAAGTCCCTTGCTGCAGCTTTTGAAGCAGACCAGAGTTCCTGAAGATGTGAGCGTCATGTACTTTTCCCGGCCATCCCACGTTGATATTGGTGAAACGTCCCTTGTGATCCACTAGTGCTTGCAGCACCATTGAAAAGTACCCCTTTCTGTTTATGTACTCGCTGGCTTGGTGCTCCGGTGCCAAGATAGGGATATGGGTTCCGTCTATTGCCCCACCACAGTTAGGGAATCCCATTTCAGCAAAGCCATCCACTATGCCCTGCACATTTCCCAGAGTCACTACCCTTGATAATCAGCAGCTCTTTGATTGTGTTGGCTACTTGGATCACAGCAGCCCCCACAGTAGATTTTCCCACTCCAAATTGATGCCCGACTGACCGGTAGCTGTCTGGCGTTGCAAGCTTCCACAGGGCTATCACCACTCGCTTGTGAACTGTGAGGGCTGCTCTCATCTTGGTATTCTTGCGCTTCAGGGCAGGGGAAAGCAAGTCACAAAGTTCCATGAAAGTGCCCTTACACATGCGAAAGTTTCGCAGCCACTGGGAATTGTCCCAGACATGCAACACTATGCGGTCCCACCAGTCTCTGCTTGTTTCCCGGGCCCAGAATCGGCGTTCCACGGCATGAACCTGCCCCATTAACACCATGATGTCCACATTGCCGGGGCCCGTACTTTGAGAGAAGTTTGTGTCCATGTCCTCATCACTCTCGTCACCGCGCTGCCATTGCCTCCTCGCCTGGTTTTGCTTTTGCAGGTTTTGGTTCTGCATATACTTCAGGATAATGCGCGTGGTGTTTACAGTGCTCATAATTGCGGCGATGATCTGAGCAGGCTCCATGCTTGCCGTGCTATGGTGTCTGTGCTGAAAAAAGGCGCGAAACGATTGTCTGCTGTTGCTCAGATGGAGGGATGAGCGACTGATGACATGGCTTATGCTCAAACCACTGAGCTATCCCTCCTCCCACTATTCATGGACGGGGGGGCAAATGAACACAAAACAAATCTGGTCTCTTTATTGTTTTGATCCACTCCATCTCTCTTATACATCTTAGGCTGGCAGCAGACGGTGCAGTACGACTGCTAGCCATTGTCGTCATTGTCGTTGTTTCCCATTTATGTCCAGGTGCCCCTGGCTGACCTCACCAAGGCCAGCCAGGAGCACACACATCTGCCCAGGTGCTCCAGGTCGGCTAAAAGAGCAGCCAGGAGACGACGACAACGGCTACCAGTCATAATGCACTGTCTGCTGCCAAAAGGCAATGAGCTGCTGCTGTGTAGCAATGCAGTACCATGTCTGGCAGCACCCAGGAGACATATGGTGATGGTGAGCTGAGTGGGCTCCATGCTTGCCGTGGTATGTCGTCTGCACGGGTAACCCAGGAAAAAAAGGCGAGAAACGATGTATTGCCGTTGCTTTCGGTGGGAGGGGGGTGATGACATTTACCCAGAACCACCTGCGACAATGTTTTTGCCCCATCAGGCATTTGGCGCTCAACCCAGAATTCCAATGGGCGGTGGAGACTGTGGGATAGCTACCCACAGTACAGTGCTCCGGAAGTCGACGCTAGCCTCGGTACTATGGATGCACTCCGCGGAGTTAATGGTCTTAAGTGGGGGGACACACAATCGACTGTATAAAATCGATTTCTAAAAAATCGACTTCTATAAATTCGACCTAATTTCATAGTGTAGACATACCTTAGTCAAAAAAGATCCTCCTCTAAGGAACGGTACAAATTTGTACCATCCTGACTGTTGATGTAGCTTTAATTTTTGGAAGTAAGGTGGATTTCTGCTTGACTTGCATTTGGGGAAAGAATGCATTATAACTTCTCTGATTCACTGTAATTAGTAAGTGAACAGACTAATCAGAACACACATAATAATGCATCACAAATGGTACTTTGCTTTAATATTGTGTGAGGCTTCAGAGGATATACTAATAGATATTTTGTAATGTATTTCATAAAAATAATGTCTTAGTAATATGAGACCTGAACTACAGTCATTGGTTATTAAACATAGCTGAGGAGTGAGGACAGACCACCAAATTATGGCGAGTGCAGATTTTTTTTTTTTTTTTTTTAATTGCACTGGATAGTCACTAGTCTGTAAATGGATCAGTTTTTGCTGGAGGCATCTGTTAAAACCAACCCAGCATGAGAGACAAATATGGCTTTCCTACTTTCTCTGAGCTTGCTGGCTCATCCAATGGAAAAAAAATTGGCTTCTTTCCAGAGGTTAGCTTTAGATTTCCATTTATATAAATTGTTAAAATGTTAGGTAAATTTAATAATAATTTAATAGCCTTGCTTGTGCCAGCCTTAGTAATGTGGGCTTTTAAAAATCTGAAATATACATGCATTCGGTCACATTCACCGTTATTAAGAGTTTGAGGTCAGTATTTATCTTCTGCATTACAATGTGATGCTAAGGCTAAAAATATTCCAGAAAACAGAAGTGGATGTGAAATTTTATGATTGTGTGTATGCCTATCATCATTTTTGAGGGTTTTTGAACAAAGTGAATTACTTAGTTTCCCTGTCTTGTTAAAAGTAAGAAGAAGAATGTGAGGTTGAAGATAGTGAGAACTGGATTAATCACCAAACTGGGATAAATACTAAATCCACTGGGGTTGGTTCATTGTGAGGCCAAGGACAATCAGAACTTAGCAAAGGAATTCCAAGTGAAAGCTAAGAGGTGGAGGGAAGGACAGGGAATAATCTTTTAAAGTTAGATCACATATTTACTGTAACTTTTTTTTAAAAAAGCAACACAGTTTTAGAAACATTAATTGCTTATCTGTTTAATTTCTCTCAACAGGTTGCAAGGTGGAATCTATATTCCTGAACATTGAAGCTGTAAACACACACAGAGATAAACCAGAGGTAGGACAAGTGTTCAATACAAATACCTTAATACATTGCATTTTCTGAGATGATTATCATAAAAAAAGTCTGTTACCCAGATTTAGAATTAATTTGTTACAATTGCTGAGCATATTTAACTTTACACACCAACTTTGTGTAACCAGTACGTTACTCATCTGGGTATTGTTTTCTAGATACGTTTGTGAAAAGAAATTTTACATTTCAGACATAAAGGTAAACTCTGGCTCTTGCATTCAGAAATATCAACTGTGTGTACATAGTGTTACTAAGTCAATGCCTTTTATATTTTTATGTTAGAAAACACAAATGCCAAAGACTTAGTAATGATCAAAGCAATGAATAAGCTATTCAGTCTGTTAGGAACAAGCTTATCATGCATCTATTTCACTTTCCAAGTGCATGATGATGTATTTTAAACATTAGAGGAAAAATTTGATTGAGCTCTTTTTCCAGTTTGGAATTGGCATAGTTCCCCATGCATTTCCAAAACGTGCAAGAACTGTTGGTAGTAGGGATTAATGAAGTCTGTCTTGCTTTAGGCTGACTGCAATTACAGGGCTTTGTCCATACTGAGAAATTTTATCAATGCTAGCCAATGGTGGGAACACTAGCACAGAGAAGGAACGGGTGTTTTTATATCTGTCATCTTGTCCACCTCAAAGCAAGCCCAGCCAACTGAGACTTCATCTTTTCACTGCAGAAGATAGGGGTGTGTTTACACTGAGATTCCTAACTTGAGATATCTTAGTGGATGTAGCTAGTCAAGGTCAACCCGTATACCCCTCCAGTGGCTTGTATGTGTGTAATGTGTAAGCAGAGTTAGGAAGTCAGGCTTGTGGTAACTTATTGCATTCTTGCTGAATCAGAGTATGAGATGCTGTGTGGTGCCATAGCATTCTATAGTAACGTGAGTTTGGATCGACCATATTACTCCCAAAAGGCTCTGCCATTGATGGATTATAAAAGCTTACCCAAACTTGATATGCATGGTGCTTATGCTACAAGCTTTTGTGTCTAAGCTTTAAGTCTCCCTTGAAGTAAATTGGCTACCATTGCAAAGAATAATATGGGTAGAGTTGAGGCGAATGGATTAGTGCAGTAGTCAATTTATATTATAGTGAGAAGTTGGGATTTGTGGTATTGATCAGGGCCATACGTGTGTGAAGATATGAGTTTTTGTATGTTTGTGTGCATGGAAATGATGTGTGTGTAATACGATTTATATATATGGCTTTTTTGTGACTAATCAGTTTATTGCATGCTGTTTGCTACCGGGCTTTGCAAGAAGTTTTATTATCTTAGTTACACTGAGTTGACAAAACATTGGTTTCAGTAGCGATTCTAGTCAAGTGCTTTCATTTATGGATGTTTTTTACCATGTTTAGGCTTCACTGCTTTCATTACTTCTTTCCCTTTGTGTATTATATTTTACCAGATTTTTAATCTATTCTTCTTGATGCAGCTTGCATATTATGCTGAAAGCCACTTAATAGGAACAGAGTGTAAATAATGGGATGCTTTCTGGCAAACACTTCACCTCACCCATCAAATGGAATATTAAACAATTCTGACGAATTGAACATGTTCTTTACCACCAAAATGACATCCTTATGTGCCCCTTTGTGAATATCCTTATTTTCAAGCCATGACTTTTTCAGTGATGATCCAAATGACTGTCTCCTGCAGTTCAGATGAAGAACTGCTGATTAACCTCAGTCTGCCACAGTGTCTTACAGCATGCCACGTATTTTTGGGAATATTTATTATGATGTTAGCTTATTAAAAATGTTTATTTGGGAAGAAAACCTGTTGAGTCACTGCATTAGCTCTAAATGTTATAATTATGGTTACCTGAGCACCTAATGCTGTTACTTAGCACCTTTTGACCTGAAATGCTTGACAAACTACACATCTGGTACTGCTGAAATGTTTGGGGAGAAGGGCAGAAGTCAGGCAACAACTGTACAGTAGTGAAATTAGTGGAAAAATTTGACAAAGGATAGCAGGGTAAACCTGAGGTTTTTTTCAGGGAAGACCCATGGGGATTTTATTACCCATAGAGAGTCACAGACAGGACCTGTACTTGAGATGTCTTCTGAAAGACCCACACTGAGTAAACTTCGTAGTATACAGTTAAACTAACTAGGCAGGATGAAAGGCTAAGTTGATTAGGCAGGATTAGAGTGTGGTATAGAGTATAAAATATTTCCTTTATGCTATCTGTGTAAATGGGAACTGCTACTGTAAAATCTAATTTTAAAATACTCTTTATTAAAGCTGAACAACTATAGTATTTCATTTTAAAAAATTACCATTACAAACAAAATACTTCCCTAATAATTGTACTGTGTGCGCCTTAGATATAAATTCCATATCAATACATAAGGCATGCTATAGTGCATAGCAGATGTTGAAAAAAACTGTTTTAAAATACTTTATGTACTCTAAGAAAAATTCAAGACTGTCATTTTTACATTGCAAAAATACATATAAAGGAGTAGAATAACTGACTTTCCTGTGTTTTCTATAATAAAGATGATCTATCTGAATTTGGACTGCAGATTTGACTGGTCATGTACAGTAGCATCAGATTTGTAATGACTTCAGTCTCAATCTGGATAGGATGAAGGAGGAGTGATCTTTGTTTTTTCCCATAATAAATCTTATGGAACTACTTCAACAATCATTTGAGTTCTCTCTCTGATGTTTTGGATTTTATTTCAGAAAGCAAGTTTAATGCCTTTGTGTGGCAGGAAAATCTGTTTCCTTTGCTACATATCTTAGTCCATAAATTAGAGATTCATTGCAAAAACTCATTTTAGATTATTTCAGTTAATTCAGTTTTTATCATAAAAATAAAAGAGAAATTTGCTCACCCTAACACAGAATCAGGGAAGTGAACAAAGAGAGAAACATGTAACCCAAATGCCCAAAGCCTTTTTTTAAAATGGAAAATATATTTTTGGAATTGAAATGGCTTTGTTTTGAAGAATGAATTGATCTTTCAAATTGAACCTGAATGCACATCATTTGATTTTTATTTAAAGTAGTAGGTAGGGTACTAGGTTAGCAGGTACTTTGTTTGAATTTAGTGATACTGTTGTAGGCCCCCAACTTGAGCTGCATGGGTGCAGCCAACATCAGGCTTATCAGCTAAACTGTCTACCCTTTGAACGCGAGCTGCATTGAACATGGGCAGTACTGTACAACTTCTGCAAAATAATCAGACGTCTACCCATAGGTACCGTTTTAGTCTTGGAGGAGGGATTTTGTCATAACTCACCGCATCAGGTGTAGTTTTTGTGTTCTAAACTAGCTATATTACAAGTAAAGTGAAGATCATGCTATGGAAATGCAGTGTACGGCTCTAGTTCAGGAAAGTATTGCTATTCAGAGAAACCAGTTTATATACTCAACTCCTATTGAAATCAAGTATGTGCTCAGTGGTTTTCCTGGGTAGGAATAGATTTAAGCATATGCTTAAGAGTTTTCCTGATTGGGGCCTATAATAGGAATCCTCTACATGTGAATAACTGAAGTGTTACAAATAAGATTTATGTAGGATTGATGGTTATTTTATATAAGTTGTGCTGCTGTATGTTCTAATGCATTAAAAAGCTGTTACTTCACTGAATTTTCTGAGTGAAAAATCTTTTGTTGAAGTGCAGCTGTGTACTTGTGAAGGAATCTGATTGATATTTTACTGCTGCTTATTGCTGCATGATAAATATTCTCCTCTGTATTTTTATTATTATACAGAATGTAGACATTTCCAGACCTCCCGAGGAAGCCCTTGTAACAGTCCCTGCTCACCAGTGAACCCGTGTCCAGATCAGCTATCAAACGCGTGGTGCTGTTTTCATCCTATTACTTTAAAATACATCTTTAAAAAAATCATTCCAATCACTTTGAAATCAATTACAAAAATAATATTTAAATCATTGTACAGCACATAACGTCTAAAATTGTCTAGGCATAGTGAAACTGTATTATACTAATTCAGTTGAACCTTAATTGGCTGCTGTTTGCTGTTCTTTTTTTTTTTTTTTTTAAGATTTCTATAATCCTGTGATCTTGCAGTTTTAATTTTTAAATTGATTTTTTTTTAGGTCCAGTAACTGTTGGACTTTAGTTGAAGTATGAAAGCTACGATGCATAACATACTGTGTGTGATAAGCACAAGCTGGGCACAAGTAGTACTTGTTTCCCCGACCTTGGGAGTGATTGGACTGTTAAATGTAGCAGAAAATAACATTTCCATAGTTAGCAAAACATTTAGTTCTACTGATCCATAGTGCTAGTCTGGTAGATCTGTTAGATTACCAAACTCTTTAATGGTATATATTTGAAGAGGAGGCTAGCAAGTTGAAGCTTATTTTATTCCAGACTTCAAACATAATGAGGAGAAGTATATGAGTAGTTTAATGTGTGCAATTTTTCTTAAAATATATTTCTGCATTGGGCGAATGGCAGAGTTCTTTGGGCACATAGTAACAATTTTCATTTGGTTTCTTTTGTTTAGGAATTAAGAAACACAGAATCTTAAAGTTCCCTATTCATGGTCTGGCAAGCAGCAGCCACACTTACTCCTAGTAGTATGCTGCTCCTAGCGCATATGTGGATGACCTTTGAGTCATCACATAGGGTTTGAGTCTTCACCTTTGAGTCTTCAATAGTGCATACATCTTATCAGAGCTTACCTTGGGTACAATACAAAGGCCAATGGCCATTTCAGATTAGTCTGTACCTAGATTTTAGCTTATACTTAAAAAAAAAAAAAGGTTGGTTGGAGGTTGTCCTGGCTAAAATGGGTGCACACACCTCCCGAAGCATGAATAGAATGTGTGTGTGAAAGATGGCGTGTTTACTACGGATTGTCAAGCAGTTATTCACCAAGAGAGTGCAACATGCCAGTGTCTAAAATCCTTTACACATTGTACAAAAAGAGACTGTAGCTCATTTGAAAGTTGAGTAGCAGCACGACCTTGCTGTTTTTTGGGGGATAGAGACCAAATTAAAATTAGAGGTGTCCGAGTAACAGGGGCAGCTTTGTTTTCATTGCATTGAAATCTTGGAAAATAGGCTGTTTTCTAAGCAATTGCTTTTCATCTAAAAGAATAGCACAAATCCCTTGTTGTATAAACTGTTTGTTCAGTTAATAGGTCTATTTCTCCAGCTTGTACATTTTTTACAAACATTTTGCATTTTGTTGAAATTAACTATTTGCATTTTTTGATAATTTCTGTTGAGGTCATGTACCCCATTATGAGCTCCTAAATACTATAGTGATAGGGAGTAATTGATAGGTAGCTGGCTCATGTAAATAATCTATTGTACAGATAAAATCCTAGTATAGAATTTGAAGTTTCAAGTGATAGCATGTATCACTGGGTAGGACATTAGACTGGGAGTCAAGTGACCTGGGTTCTGTTCCTGTTGCTGCCATGGGTATCCTTGAGAGGTTTGCAGGGAAGTTAGTTATGTAAACCAGAGTTGTGGAAAAGTAACAAGATAGTGAGTAAATGAGAGAGAGAGCGAGAGAGAGTGTGTGTGTGGCCCATTACTAAGGAGAATCCCATGCAATAGTAAATATATATTCAAAGTTAACTTAAAGCTGCTTCTGCTGTCTGATGCCTGTAATACTTATATCCTGCAGGTGTAGGTAAGAGTCAGTAAGTAGTTCTAAGAGGTCTTTTTCAGTCTGTATAACTGCCTGGATGTGGCAATGGAGTAAGTGGTTCAAAAACCGCTTACAGTTATTGTAGCACTAGAGAAAACCCTAGTAGAGGACAGAATGGATTTTTAACCGTTGTTTGTACAGAGCTCCAAGGGAAATCAGCTAGTTATAGTTCCCAAGCTGCTACAATACACTGATTTAAAATATCTATTCATTTATTTTTATGTATTTTACCTTTTGGGTTTTGGATGTAAATGCTTTCACAAATTGAGTCTGGTATTTTTTTATTTTATTTTTGTGTAGTAAACTAGCCATGTCTGCATTCAGTGTATTTAACAACTCCTTGTCTGGCTTCTTTCTGAAAAATATTGTCCTCCCTACTTCATTCCTTCCAGACTTGTTTTTCTTGCAAACCAAGGATATCCTGGAGACAGGCATAAGCCCATCTTGGCAGTCTCAAGAGCTGCACAATTCCTGCCAGTAAAAAACCACTATTAAGCTCTCTCCCATCCTGGTTCCATCTACTCTCACAGACATGGTTGCCATAGGTATCTGAGATGAATCCCTAGAAGATTTAGGACTATGCCCAGAACTTCTCATTACCAGACAATGTAGCTACACCATCCTTTCTCTCCCTTCCCAAATCCTTTCTCCCTCATTGCACTCTTTCTGATAGAGATGTCTCCCTCTTTTTTATCTTAGGCCTCCATCTATTATGGCATATAGTCTACTCCAACAACTTCTTGATCTCCTCTTATTTTCCCTGGGATTTCCTGGAATTTGGCTTCTTGCCTTTCATCTTTTTGAATCAACAGCAAATGCCCAGCCTTCCATATACTGCAGCCAATATTGGGGCTCTCAGGCAGCCCACATAGACAACCCTTCAATAACTTAGTTCCAAGCGCCTGGTGGATGTGTCATTTTGATCCAAGTGTTGCACAAGTTATTCTGAAAAATATGGACAGATTGAACAAACACCATTATCATTGCTCCTTTGTGGCCATTCAAAGATTGGCTTGCTAAAGGCCAAATATCCATAGACAGGTGTTGACTCCAAATCCCTTATAGTCTCTCCCAAAAACAGGACAGTCACTTTTTTCTCTCCAGAATTTGGCCTCTGCTGGTTTGTTGCACAAGAGATTATTGCTTCAAGAAAAAGGAGTCTCTGAAAAGATCATAAAGGCTCACTTCAACTCCTGGAACCCCCTGATCCCATTAAGAGTTTGAAAGACATTCTGAATTTGCTGCCTATCCAGAGAAAACTCAGCTTTCAGTGTCATCAGAATGACCTCTTGAATTTCCTCTGGAGGGATTCCATATGGGCTTAGTTGATGGCAGTGTAGGTTTCAAGGTTTGGTTTCAGGCTTGCAGGTAACTTAACTTTCAGAGTGGTGTTTCCATAATTCTCTCACAAGACTCAGATCTCCTGTAAGATATATTGCCCTAGTCTGGGGTCTTAACCTAAGTTTTAATAACATTATTGGAACCACTCCCTTGAGCCTATTGGCACATCTCTGATTAGACTGTAAACTCTTCAGGTTCTGCTTGTTTACTGTTTCAGCAAGGAGAGTCAGTGAGCTAACAGTCCTCACTTATCACTCTCTCACACATTGTCTTCCTCAGTTTTAAGATGGTATTACGTACTGAAACGTCTTCCAGGAACAGGACTGTCACCCAATTTTACTGAAATGAAAGGTGGTTCTGGTCTTGATTCTCTGCTGGGCAGAGGAACAGATTCACTGCCTGGAGCTCAAAAAGCCTGCAACGACTCATCAATGCTCCGGCGTTAGTCTTTTCAGAAACCTTAGCTATTTCAGTGTGTGTGAGAAAATAATTTCTGTGTCCATCCAATGCTATAAATGTTGATTTGAAATAAAGGGAATGAATTAAAATAGAGAGGTTTTAAAAAAGAAAAAGTGGGGGTGCCCTCAACTTAAGAAAAATCACAGGCTTTTTTCTACATACCGTTTTCACAAGTAAGAGCTAGATTTCTGTCACTGAAATAGGGTAGAGATAAAAACGGATTTCTCTGTTTTTCAATTACTTTTCTGTGCGCTTTTGACCGTACTCTGCGTAGTCAGTTCAGCCGTTTCCGCTGTGTATAAGTCATTGTATGTCTTCGTATTAATGTAGGTTTTTACAGATCAACAAGAATATTTTTTTTAAAGGCAAATATGAGTATAAAACCACAAAAATTGACTAGCAGTTGTGGTTTTTGGGCATATTGGCAGGTGTAGAACCCTGAAACATGTTTAAACTTATTTTTGAAAACAAATTGTTTTCCAGTAACTTGATAGTATCCCATTAAGTATAATAAAGCAACTTATCATCCCAAAATCAATTTTCCAACTCACTTTTTTATTTTTTCATTAAATCAAGTCATTGCCTGGATGGATGTGTGCTGTAGAGGAGGAGCTTGATAAACTTACTAAAAATGCCAGCTCTTATTTTTTAATAGTTATACTGCAATAGTTTTGCCCCCTCATTGCCCTTTAGACCAAAACAAAATCAGAAAAGAAGTTCAAATATCTTTTGAGACTACATAGAAACATGGGGGGAGGGGGCAGGGTTCTGGTGAAATTTGTGCAATTCATGAAAATCTGAAGTGCAGTAATAAAAGCAAGTTCAAACAGAATTTTCAGTAAAGGTAGTTTACAATGTTTATAGTAGGAGAGTGGTTTTGTGGTTAAAACACAGAACAGGGAGATGGTCTGTGGCAGAGTCAGCAATAGGTGCTATATCTCCCATCCGTTGATAATGGGCCTGATGCAAAGCCAGCGGGAGTCTTTCCTGTGACGACATTGGTCTTTGCAGCTGGGGTTTCCTCTTGTTAGTGGTTGAAAGAAAGGGCTCTGCAGTAGAGAACCCTAAGCATGCAAAACTTTTCTGCAACCATCTTCTTCCCCAAGTTCTGTAGACTTGTTACTTCTCAATTAAAATGTATATGGTTTCAGAGTGAAACTAGAGTGGTATAGAAACTATATGCTATCCAAACAGCTTTGGGAACAGTATTGCAGTAGAGATGGTAGAAAAAATGGTTTTAAAATCACATCTAAATGTCAACCACTGGCACCTATCCGCGTAATATGAATGATAGTATCTGTATGCCCTAACAGTAATTGTGTGCGTGTGGGGAGGGGAGAATAGATGCTTCAGTTTTATTTACATTTTGCTTATCCAGCAAATAACCTTGAATGTGTGTGTCTTGCCCTGTGTGCTTGGTTTTGTGAGACCAGAGAAGATAGTCAATGAAAAACACTTTCTCTAAGACTGCAGAAACCAGTAAAAATGAATTCACTCAATTTCAGTTAATATAAAATCTGCTAGTAGCTAATAAAACTTGAAATCTGAACAGTTACTATTTTGGGGACGAGTAAGTGAATAACTCGGGGACCTGATCCATGTTCCTCATCTTAGTCAAGCAGGCCCTAATGCCCAGAGGTGTGTGACAGTTATTGCTAAGTTCATAGTGCTACCTCATTTTCCTATGGAGTCTTTGCAAGCCTGTATCTGAGGTTATGCTCATCCAAGGAGCACAGTTCCAGCTAAACTAGCATAGCGCACAGTGTGGAGAAGGAACCGCATCTTTAAAGATAAACTTAATAAGACATGTGCTCAGTGGACAGTATGAGAGTGTTTTAACAGCTGGCATAATGGATGTCCTAACTGATGCTTTTTTATTGGCAGCAAAGAAGGCCTGTGATCTGGTATTAGAGAGTTGGCTTTGTAGAGAACTTAAGAGCTGGCATGAAGTTTTAATCCTGGTTTTTGAACTCTATATACTGGCTGGTGTAGGTGTAGGTTGGGCCTTATGTCTCATTTTATTAAGTCTTCTGAGAAAATGTGTCCAAGGTGCTATGTAAGAAAAGCAAATTCTGTCTGTCTTTGGCCCTTTGTGATGTGCCATAGACTGAGTAAAAACCTACAGCAAAGCAGGAAGAAACTTTGCTTAAATCCCCTTTCTGTCTTTGGCTTGCAGAATGTAGGTGTGGATCGCTCGAGAGAGGAAGCCTTGAGGACAGTACCTAATCATCTATAACTCCCGTGGACCATGACAATATCCCCTGCCTGCCCCAGAAGCGCTAAGGAAATAGCTCAGGTACATGAGACTGGAGAAGACATCCAAGGAGGTCAAGCAGTGTCACATGCACACACTCCCTCTGACTGTAAGGCTTTTAGAATGTGATTCAATGACTTGTGGGAAAACCCATGATTCTGGAGGACCCTTAATGCTGAAAGTTGAAATGTGCAAGGCAGGAAATATTTATGGGAAACCCAGTGAAGTTGATATTAATTTTTCTTCTGTGAATATGCAGTTTTTCAACTGTTTTTATTCTTCACCTGTGGCTCATGCAAGATTGTTAATTGCTCGTCAGCTTACTGTCAAGTTTTAACTGAACTTTTACTTTTTTCAATAATGGCTTTTCTAAGAGTACCTCTTATTTTTACTGTGAATGACTGCCTAGAATTAGATGACTTTTTTTTTAGTTGTGTATATATATATATTTTGAATACATGTGAAATTCTGCATTTAATGCTCTGTAGGCTCCATTTGCTACAAAACCAGTTCATATTGGAGGCTTGCTCTGAAAAAGTTTCTCAAGTACTTTTTTCCCATCCCCTATCTATGTTTGAGCATAGTTCAGGTGTTGCAAAGCACCGTGTATGTGTGTCTTTTGAAATAGGGATTCTTTCCCCTTTGCCAAGAAAAAATATTTGATATTATATATTATATTATATTGACAGTGAGAGAGGCTTTGCTATCACAGTAAGTTCCTTTATCTTCCATGCAAAATGGCATTTTGTACCATGGTGGGGGTGCACTATTATACAGTTGATCGTTCTAGAAGGATGGTTTTAAGTACAGATAGCTGGCTTGTTAATAGTCTAATTATCCTAGAAAGAGATTATGAAGGGTAAAATGACAGATATCCTTCAGAATATCTGTACTGTCCAGGTTAAGCAGCCTTTCCAAGAGAGAACACAACTTCCACATTCAGGGTGAAATATACTCCCATTCAATGGGCCCTCAAAAGACCCAATGCATCACTTGAATGCAGGAAAACTTCAATGTAAACCCTAAATGGGCTCTAATAGAGTGAATTTCACACTAAAAGTATAAGGTTTTTTATGTGGGAGCATTAAGTAAATAGAGGAGAATGTTAAAATAAAATTTTAGCCTCCTGAGAATTGTATAAGTACAAAACCCTTGAGTGAATTTGGAAATTGATTTTTTAAAAAATGTCATCTCTATATTTTGTTTTTAAAATCTTTTTAAACTTCCTGTGAAATTGCAAGTGCATTTATGTCCAATGCTAAAAAGTAATAGAATTTTCTATGCATGTCAAGGCCACTCACTACCTTCATTGTTCCAAGCCCCTATCTCTCTCTCTCTCTCTCTCTCTCTTTCTCTCTATAATACATGTGTTGTTGGATGATAGAATTTAGGTAGCAACACCTAATTGTTAATGAAATGAAGAAAGCTGCCCATTAGTTATTGGAGTATCTTTTTGATGTCTGCTAATCCAACTCTTGCATTTATCCGTTAATACATTTAGTTGAATTTCAGTGCAGAGAATTGAGTTCTGTCAAAGTAGCTTGCAGGCAAGGGCTAAATTGTTTTTTTGTTTTGTTTTATGCAGGGCAGGGGACTCTAATATGTGCTGCTGTTGTGATTTGTTTTATTAAGCTAGTCTTAGCAATACAGTCAATGTACTGGAAGTAAGCCATATAGCTAGATTTCATTTCAGAAAACGAATGCATAGGATATCAAAACACTTGCTTGGAACCTTAGCATCAAAAGCTTTTTGTCTGTAATCCATGCAACCAGTAATATGCATTTAAAAGTATATATTTATTTAGCTGTATTAATAGTTATTGTCTAATGTTATAGCACAAAGCACTGCTAAGACATTTATTGATGCACAGCAAAACAAACCCTAAAGATGCTTATGGAGAGGGAAGAGATGCTATATAGTGGTTTCCCTTCTGATAACCTATTTGTTCATAGTTCAGAAGAACAGCCCTATCCTCTAAGGTGCCCTGTTTCCTGTGGATCTGGGCCACGACCTACAGTAGGGATTATTTATGTTTAATGATGGTAAATTGAGGAAGTCTAGCTTTTATCCATAGTTATCCAAGGCAAATTCCCAAATATTATGTTCTTAATGTGCTTTGAAAAGCAGAGGTTTACCAAGATAGTTTGGATTACTGTAGTTTTGAGCTTCGTCCTGGTAAAGGAAGCGTGGTTATAAAAGGGAAATGTTTCCCTATATGGGTTTTTAATCTCAGAACTTTCAGAGGTGCTGTAAAATTCTATATGGTTAAATGTTTTATGTATAGTAGATATTTTTATAGACTGTGTGAATAAATTGTGTCAGTACTTGAAAATAAAAAGGAGAATCTGAAGCTGTCAATTCTGTTTTAATTTACAAATAATGTCATTGACTGTATCTTAGTTAGTAAAAGAAAAATACTAGAATGTAAAAATAAGTAAATGATCACCCCCATCTCTCCTGTAAAAATTGAGAGTTCTGGAACTATATTGCAAGAATTACTCATTACTATCTAAAAGCTGTATACATATTCCCATCTGTTTCGGAAAAGTGAGTCATCATCCAGAGGGGGTAACTTCTAAGCATGGTCTAGTATGTTTGTTTTATGTTGTAGTGATTGGATGGGATTAAACTAACCTTTCTGACATGACTGGTCTTCAATTTAATCTTCTAGGCAAAATGAATCTCATGTGATCTTTGAGCCAAGTAATAAAGATCAAATGTTAAAACTCAAGATTTGTGTTTCTTTCCTTGTCCCCTTAGACCAGCTATGCTACAGTAACATGTAGAGTTGTGTAAATATCTCCTCAGGTCAACACACTTTATGAATTTGTACACTGTGGAAGGCTGTGAAATACTTTTTACAAAATGTATCTTAGATAGAGAGAAGTGTGAGAGTAAAGATTAAGTTCATTTCATTATCATCTGTTGCAAAAAGAGGTGAGATATACTGATTATACTACCTACAATGTGTGACAGAAGCTGAGATCTGCTCAGGTTGGCAAAAATCTTTTGCAATAACAAAGAAAAAGCAATAGTTCAGATTTAAAATAGAAGAGGAAATCAAAATTCATGTGAAATTAGGATTGTAAATTGAGGCTTTGTGAATTTCAATGAAAATTAACTGTTACATTTTGTCATTCTAAATGTTTAGGATTTGTGACATTCTAAAACAAGACAACTTTGTTTTTTAAATGATTAATTCTCATCTACCTGATAGTCTTCAGTACCAATAGCTGCAAATTAGTAAGTAAAATGTTAATCTGCTGTAGCATTTGGATTTAAATAGTCCATTATGCATGTATAAATAAGCTAGACTGCATTGAGATGCAATAGCGTTAGTAATGCTTTTTCCATTTCTGATGCAGTTTATGAGAAGGCAAAACTTACCAGAGGTCATTTGTCTAGACTAGGGGCTCTCAAACTTGTTCATATCGGGAAGCACAGCTTACTGTGTTCACATCTCCTCTTTGGAAAGTACTGATCGCTACTAACTTTAGTCCCTCGTGGTGGTGTATTATCTACCACAGCAATTGCTATACCCTCTTCTCCTCCAGTGTAGTAGCATTCTTTATTAGAGGTAACTCATTTCCAGGTGCCTTTTTTTAAAAGGCCTTGAGACTGCTCTTTGCAGTGAATTGAATGGACACTTAGCAGCAGCTGGTACTAAGAACACCAGCCCCTTGTGCCCAGTCTGGGAACCAGATAGAAAATAACTGCAGTCTACTAACTTCCACAAGGTGGCTCTCACACACAATGGTTACAGAAAAGAGGGTATGTAATAAAGGTTGTAAATCTCTGTATTTAATTATTGGCTGATGATGATAGTGATCTAACACCTTAGTCAGTTCCATTTATCAGTGGGGAATTAGACTGTCACTTAAGTAGCAATACATCAAATATCTATAATGTATTAAATCTGAAATATTTATTATGCTGATGCAGATAAAGATCACAATGTGTGTCTGGTTACTTGTTGGAGGGTATGTTAGTTGGTCTGTTAAGCCTCCTGATACATTGATGTGCATGTGTGACACCAATTGGCTGAAGCAGGCATTCCCAGCAAGTCATTTCAGCATCTCCTACCAATTAGAATGATGTGCGAGAAAAGAGAGCTTTGTAGAGTAGGGTCATCTCATATTTTAAAAGAGGAGCATGGGTAAATGTAACTGGTTAGAATTCTATTTTCTTTTGACACATTTTAAAATTCCTTCTTTCCTTGGTTAAAGCAGACACACATTTTCCCTGCTTGAAGGCCGAGAGCCTGATTTGAAACTGTACTTGTAATAACTTACTTTTAATCTTAGGGTGCATCTCTACCATTCTGTTGCAGAAGGATCAAGCATCCATAGGCACACCAATCTCAAATATAAAGAACAAGAGTGTAGCCAGGTAAAACATACCTAAGCCTTCTCTGTTCTGGTGATTTGCCCCCTTTTCAGCCATTGGTTGGCAGCCATGGTTCTGTTACCTCTGCTTGAAACCACAAATTGCACTTTGTTTTTGTTCTGCCTACACTGAGGGTTTGCATTTATGCTGCTGATATTAGGGCAAATACCTAGTGTGTAGGCAAACCCTTCTATATGAAATAAAACGCCAATCTGGGTCTCCCTATATAAACCTGAATTTATTATGAGAACACTGAAGATGTAGGTCCCAGCTTTAAAAAGTAGCACTGTTTTTATAAAAACAAAACCAAGAATGTATTATATGATTGAGTCTACAGTGGAGCCTCTTTTAAAAAGCCAGAGCTGTCTTCCTTCTTCAGTAGTACAGGGCTACAGAGGTTTCATCTGCCGGAGACTTAAGGTATGTCTGCGTTTGGAGCTGGAGCTGTAAATTCCAGCTTGAGGAAACATACCCAAGCTAGTGGGCTCAAAAATAGTGTAGTAGTGGCAGGAGGGCCTAGCAGCACCAAGTACATATGTGTTCGAGCTGCTACATATGTACTTGGGGCAGCTTGCCCCTCCTGCTGATGTGGCTACACTTTTTTTTTTTTAAGCATGCTTGCTTGATCAGCACTAGGGCAGGTATGTCGCCTTGAGCTGGAATTTACGCCCCCAGCTCCAAGTGTAGACTTACTCCAGGTTTTGCTATTCTTTCACTATATGTTCTGTAAAATACTGTAGCATGCTGTGAAGTATTATAATTAAAAAAACTATGCTGGTCAAATTAACGAGTGTATATTTTGTGATTAATTCTTTATCTGCTTACTCACTGTTTGGAAAATTAAATCTTTCTGCACTGGATTTGCCAGAGATGGCAAGGTTTTCTTGTATTTAAATGAACTATACTCACCTTCTGCCAACTATTCCATGTTTAAGCACTGCACTCAGTAGAAAGTTTTTCTAAAACTAACTGGCCTTTTCTTAGCATAGTTCATCACAGTACCTTAGGAAGGTTTTCAATAGGGTATTCTCATGTTCAGTAACAATAGTTCCTAATTCTAAATTCTTAGAGGACCCCCCTCAATTTTTTCGGTGCATCTTGGATAAAGAAATCCAAAGGAGGAAATGATTCCCTTTTGATCTCAGCATAGTGGCTTGTAGCCATTTAAATTTTAGGTACATTTGATTGTTGAATTAATGAGCAGTTTTGATTATGAAATTAACATTTATATAGCTTCTGTGCAGACAATGATTTTTTAAACTTAATGGACATTAGGCTAATAAATATGTTGAAGCACCTACACTTAATGGTTCTCTCTCTCACACACGTATGCTGTCTTCTGTGACAATCTGGTAGGTAACTGTTTTTATTCTTGCTGTGTAGCACTATTTGCTGGGCTAATGGCAGTTACATAGCTGTGGAATATTTGTACTGGTTAACAAATCAGGGCCCTCTTTTATGCAATACGCTTATAGAACAGCAGCACTTCAGTATTGTTTTTTGATCTATCCACTAGTTTAAGGTCCATAGTATGCCACAGGCCCAGTTATTTTATGTAGTAGAGCAAGTGGTGTATGTCTAGCTCTGTAGTTAATGTTGGTTATGATCCAAATCATTAGAGGTTGTGCATTGAGTAAGTCAACTTTCTATTTACTTGGAAGTAGACCTGTGTGAACTAGTTTTGTATTAATGAAAGTGGTTTAACCCAGATGAATCCTTTCCCCCCATCATGTACAGATGTTATTGAACTGTGGAAAGTTCACATGTGGTTATAACCTACTAAATGGAAGCATGGCTTTGCTTTAACATCAGTTATGCTAAAACACATGGAGCCACAGATGTTCTATTTGAAAGCTGGGGATTTATATGGAACAGCACCATGTCTGGCAGTTCAGCAGAAATGTTCCATCTCTGAAAGGCCAGGTAAGTGGACCCAATATTCCATATAATAGCTGAACTAGGGCTCTTTTTTGTAAGAGGCAGTGAGCTTATTGCTCACATCTACAGTATAATAAATGCACTTTATACTTTAGCAGTGGAAACTTGTACTTCAGTCTCTAAAAATTTACTCCTAGTGGGTTGTTGCCAGATACTTGGGCCAGAACATCTGATGCATATGTTTGCCAAGAATAAATATTTAGAGTAACCAATGAAGCATAGCACATGGAAAAAAGATGTCACACAATGAATTGGAACTAGTTTCTTTTTTCCTAATGTAACCCATCCTTTTGAGTTACATTGCAGGTGGGAGGTTGTAGCAGTTAATCTTGTAACTATTGTAATGATGCAGGATAGAAAGGAGATGTAATATTGGTTGGAGGAGATGAATGATTAAATACTGCTGAATTTAACTAATTTTTGTATTTCAAAAACTAGAGTGAGACACTGAGGCTAAACTTAAAGAATAGCCAGTGTTTTATCTGCAGCCGCAGCCAACAACACATTTGTTACTTAACTGTGGCATGAAATTGTTTGGCACAGAAGACTCTGGAGGCCCCATAGTTACATGAGTTCTGAAACTTTTAAAATATTGGATGTTGTCTTAAAATAAAGTATTAGTTTGTAATGAGGCAAAGTTGTTTGGTCAGAATAAGCCAACAGGCAAGCATCTGACACTAAGAGAAACTAGTGTTGGGTACAGGTTTCAGAGCGATAGCCGTGTTAGTCTGTGTCAGCAAAAAGAACGAGGAGTACTTGTGGCACCTTAGAGACTAACAAATTTATTTGGGCATAAGTTTTCGTGGGCTAAAACGAAAGTATGGTGTTGCCACACTAACTATAACGAGAGTAATCGGTTAAGGTGGGCTATTATAAGCAGGAGATGCCAGCAATGCCATGTACATTGGCCAAACCGGACAGTGTCTACGCAAAACAATAAATGGACACAAATCAGATGTCAAGAATTATAACATTCAAAAACCAGTTGGAGAACACTTCAGCCTCCCTGGTCACTCAATTACAGACCTAAAAGTCGCAATTCTCCAACAAAAAAACTTTGAAAACAGACTCCAACGAGAAACTGCAGAATTGGAATTAATTTGCAGACTGGGAGTGGATGGGTCATTATACAAAGTAAAACCTATTTCCCCATGCTAATTTTACCCCCCCCCCCCCCACTGTTACTTACACTTCCTTGTCAACTGTTGGAAATGGGCCATCCTGATTATCACTACAAAAGTTTTTTTTTTTCTCCTGCTGCTAATAGCCCACCTTAACTGATTACTCTCGTTATAGATAGTATGGCAACACCCATTTTTTCATGTCCTCTGTGTATATATATTTTCCACTGCATGCATTCGATGAAGTGGGTTTTAGCCCACGAAAGCTTATGCTCAAATAAATTTG